TACTGGTTTCTTGGTCAGTTGCTTATGTGGTCGCGCGGTCGCCCGCATGTCCCTGCGCGCTGCTCGCCGGGGTCGTTCGGTGGGTCGCGCGTCGCCTTGGTGCCCCGATGATCATGCGGAGCATGCGTCGGCGTGTTCGCCGCCAGCGTTGCCGGAGAGGTTCCGTGAGCACCCATGTCACTGATCCGCAGGGTGCTGCGGGCGTTGCGGTCCGGCTGAAAAGCCGGAGTCGGAGCGCCAGTGTGCAGCGCTTGCTTGTCAGCTCCTGTTTGTGCGAAGTGAACGCCGCCCATGCTGCCCTCGTGCGGCAGTGGATTTCGGCCCCCGTCGCGTCGTGAAAGCTAATGACGCCATCGCGGGGAAGGATGTCGATGTCCATGTCCTGAATGTGCACCATGCGCGAGCTTGCCCTGCCAGTCCGTCTGGTCTGGTTGCTGAGTGTTTTGGTTATGGAAGGGTACAACTCAAGTCTGCGAGGTCGCACTGCGCGCGCTATGTCGTCGAGCATCGCGGCGAGCCGCGGTGGGGTTTGGCTGGTCAGGAGCACGTCGTCGGCGAAGCGGAGGTTAGTGAGCGTGGAGGTGGTATTGCATCCTAACAGCACTCCCTTGCCCTTCCCTTGCCAGTCGGCGATTAGTGGTGCAAGAATGTGCTGTAGCAAAGCGTTGAAAAAGCGAGGAGCTGAGGGGGTCGCCCTGCTTCGTTCCCCGGAGGAGATTGAAGCACTTGCTGCTGGCGTCAGTCCTGACCGTAGCCGCCTGCCCCTCGCACAGCTGTTGGGGCAGTGAAATGCATCCTCGTTGAAAGCCCTGCGCCTCCAGTGCTGCCCGCGCGCCAGTGTGCTCGACGGCGTCGAAAGCTTTTCTGAAGTCTAGTGCCGCCACCCGCAAGTTCTGGCCCCAGTCGCGCGCGCGCTCACGGAGGCTGCGGAAAGCGAACGAATGGTCGGTGGTTGAGTGTCCTGGCCCGAAGCCGGCCTGGTCTGCAATTTGTTGGGTGTCAAATGTTGGTTGGGGTCTGTTGTAGAGAAGTCGGCTAAAAACTCGTAAAGCAATTGCATTGTGCATATGGGTCGTTAGTTTTGCGGAAGCGTTAGATCCCCATTCAAAAGAGCGACCGCGACGACAATTCTCTTCCAGCTGGTCGGCAGCGGAACGTCGGACTGGATGATCGCGCTATAGAGATGGAGGAGTGCGCCGACCAATTCTTCTGCGCCTTCCTCCAACATGTCTGCTCGTAGGCCTTCGGTGTCTGGAGCTTCACCAAGCCGGAACCCCCTTATTGCCGCATCCAACTCTTCGCCAGTGAAGGATGGGAGGTCGCCCCTGCGTCGCTCTCGCTGCGTCGGCTTGGTCATAGCGTCGCATAGCTGCACGTGGAACTCCGCGAATATGTCTGCAATTTCTTGCCGGCCCGTGCGTTTTGAGCCTCCTTTGTCTGTCGTGTGAATGACGAGATTCCGCTTTCTGCGTGTCTTGATGCGCGGAATACTTTTGAGGTCTCTGAACTGTTCGAGCACGGTTCCTATATGGGTCCGTCGTGTCCGCCGCTTCTGCGCGCGGATCTCCTGCTGTATCAGTGAGCTCATTTGTATGCGGGTGCAGTGGTCGCTGTTTGGTGTCTGGTGTCGCTGTGCGATGAGAAAGCGTAGACATTCTGCTCCTCTGTCTGGTTGTCGGCGCGGTTGTGCTCCAGCGCTGCTTTCCGACGGCGGCGTCGATGAGAACTTGTTAGATGTGCTCGCCCAGGGATTGCGGGTTGGTTGGTAGTCCGTCCGGTGTCAGTCGTCGTCTTTGGTGGTCGTGGTAAACGCTTGCATTGATGACCTTGCCGGTGGAAGCGTTGGGTGGTGCGCGTCTGCGCTGTCGGTGGTCGTCGTCTCGTCGCGGCCGTTGTTTTACCGTTGCTTCTGGTATCTTCAACTCAGTGATGACAGCCTTGTGGTCGGATCCCAGGTCGGTCACGTTGCTGGCCTCGGCATTATTAGTGCAATGTTTGAAGATTTGCGGTCGAGCAAGATGTAGTCGAGCTGTTTCTGCTTGTCGTCGCTGGTGTACGTGATCTGCTTACGCATGGGCTTTCGGAAAAAAAACGCATTGGTAAACAAAAGCACTTCTTGGACAGCCCAGTGTCGCAACCATGTACCCCTCGAGTTTTCGATCCCATATCCGTGGCGGCCGAAACACCTGGAAGCGACGAGGTCGTCGTCGTCGTCGCCGTCTAGTGATTTGCGGGATTCCCCAACCTGCGCGTTGGAGTCACCAGCGAGTATAATATGACGTCGTGCTTTGGTGCTCTCTCTCTCTCTCTCTCTCTCTCTCTCTCTCTCTCTCTCTCTCTCTCTCTCTCTCTGTGAATCTCGTGGATCGCGTCGCACATGCGCTGAATGCGCGGGTCGCTGTGCCCAGAGCGTGGGAAAATACGCGGCCACCAATTGCAATTTCAACCGCCCTCTTTTCAACAGCATCGTGGCGAGTCCTGGCAAATGGGCTTCAAATCTCTGTATGCTCTTTCCCCAACTCTTGTGTCTACGAATAACAACTCCGTGGCACGCCTGGTCATTGCCAGATCTAGCAAACGTATGCCCTTCCACGGTTGTCCACAACTCTGTTGCAGTCGCCCTCCATGTCTCGTTGATGAGCACAAAATCCCACTGGCAATTGTCGAACTCTGCGATGAGTTCGTTGACCGGGTCGTCTGTCGTAAATGCCCGGGCATTTTTGTGAATGGCCGTTATGCGTATGTGCTGTCGGTGCCCGTCAGTGGTCGGTGTCCTTTTCGTTGGTGCTGCTGGTTGGTCGTGGTCGGTGCTGGTCTGAATTGCTTGGTGTTGGCTTGTCGCTGCTAGTCGGCTGTCTTGTCGTTGTGTGTGTGTGTGTGGTTTGCGGTTGATCGGGTGTGTGTTGCTGGTGGTACTGGTCTGGACTCGGTTGCGTCGTTGTTTGCTCGTCGTTGTTGGCCAGTGCTGGATAGTGCAAACTTGCTGGTGTTAGTCTGCGCCACTGCTGACGCTGGTGGTCGGTGCTGGTCGGTGGTGGTGGTTTGGTTACTTGTTGCTGGTTTCGTTGTCGAAGTTTGCTGGTTGTGATTGCTCGTGGTAATCGGTCGCTGCTGGTCGATGGTGCTGTTGCTGTTTGTGGTGGTCAGTGCTATTCGGCAGTGGAGTGTGCTGTGCTGTGAAAATGCTCTGTGGCACGTCGCCGTCTGCATGTGCAAATCCTTTTCTGCCACCGCCTGTACTGCGTGCCGGCATTGTCGTCGAAGGTGGTCGCGATGCTGGCCTTGACGATGTAGGTCCTGAGAGCTGACTTCCTTGAGAGGGGGGATTAAAAAGTAAATCGGATTCGTCCTGCAGGGCACTCTCAAAAGTCTCAGCGTTCCTGGAAAGATTCGTCCGGACTCCATTTGAAGAGAGGGGGACAGGGAATGGAAACATCGAGTGCCTATGCAAATTAATTCTGGATGGCGGGTGGAACTCAAAATTGTGGGTCGCATTAGCCCCATGTTCCCGGGAGGGAGGGGCATCCCTTCACTCAGACTCGGTCGCCGGGTGGGGGTCCACTTTTTTCCTCCATGCGTCCATGGACGCCTTCGCATCCTGCTCAACCTTCTTGGCTATTCCCGTAGTGTGCCAGACCCTGGACTCACCGATCCAGGCCACCTTCCGGCCGTGAACCTCCACCAGGCTCTTCCGCCAGACGATCTTGATGTCCTCATCCTTGGCGTGGCCCTTGCGGGTGAGGTGGAACGTGGTGTAACCAAGTAGTTTGTCATTAGTCACTAGTTCTTTCTTCCATTGCGGAATTGTTCCGAAAGAAAATGGGCTTCAAGTGTTCTTTACCCTAGATCGGTTCCATTTTCTTGTATAAGTCGATTTTGTGAGATGCGTCCTCGAATGTGATGAACCCCATCTTCGCAGGATTTCCGCCAGCTTCCACCTTGGCGGTGTCCTGGACCCACTCGCGCCAGGCGCTGCGCCGCCTCGTATTAGTCGCGTCCCCCCTTGCGGCTTGCCACGCGGCCTCCGCGCGGTCCAACAGCGCCTGCGGAAGCGGCGCGGCCTCCTGCACACCCGCCCAGCGTCTGCGGTCGGGAAGGCCTGGAGGGTCGCCTGGGCCACGCGCCTGGAGGCCGCCGAGGGGCGGCCCTGAGCGTGCCGAAGGCCTCGGAGGCGACGGAGCCGCAACAGCGTTGCGTCGGCTGCACCGTCTGCTGCCTCCCCATTCCTGCCAGCTGCAGGAAGCCTCTCGGCCCGCCTCGAGGCGGCTGCGTGCGGCCGCGTCGGAGTCGCAGGCAGGCCCCGCCACGCTGCGAGCCATGTGCGCATGGCCAGACCGAGGCTCGCCTATGCCGCTTCGAGGTCGCCACCGTGGAGCGCTTGCTGGGAGTCCGCCCCGTGCGCCGCGACCACCGCCGCCGTGGTGTCCCGCGCAGCCTCCAGGTTCCAGCTGGGCGTGGCTGGGCCGTCCAGACGGGCTGGCGGATCAAGGCCACATCTGGGGCCTCCACATGGAGCTCCACCGGGAGCGCCGCGTGCATGGCCAGCCTGCGAAACTAGGCTGGCCGCGGCCGGATTCACCAAGACATAGCCGATGCGCGACGGCTCTCCTTGGGACGGCAGGCATGCCGGCACCGCCGCGGCCAAAAGGTCGCGCCACCCCGCCATGGCGAGCACACCATCCAGGCCGGAATCGTCGAGCCGACAGTGCAGGTCGCCGACGGGGCTGGCACCTCCCCAAGCCCGCGCAACCACTCGATCCTGCAAACATATAAAACACGTGTATATATCTATATACAAACATACATACAGCACACACAAAGCCAAACAACCCGAAAGCATCAGACCTTGATCCTGGCCAGCAACATCGGCTACCCGCACATGTGGCCCTGGGCAAGAGCGGCCTTTGGTGCGCGTCATATTGAGGGCCCAATCCAATGCCGCAGGCCAATGCTGGAGGAAAAGCCCGCACCAAAAGCCCCTCAGGCGGGGGGCCACACGCGTAGACGACAGCATCCCAGCTGGTGTCAAAGGAACCCCTCCCCCGCTTCGGCCGCCAGCTGCCAGCGAGCGCGCTCACGCCGCGTCCGCCTGCAGAGGGGCGGCAAGAAGAGGACACTGGTGGATTTAGGCAATGTCTTGTGCCCCCTTGTTGCTTGCGCCGCCTATGCCCCCCCTGCATTTCTAGAGGACCTCGCTGTTCCCATGAGGATCCCACAGGCGCATTCGTCATGGCTGTTGGAGAACATGAAATGTACTAGATATCTTCCAAATGCCGAAGTCGTGGATATTGCATATTGCCGTGTGTTTGTACCGATGCGAAATCGAGAATACAACCAACTTCCTTACAGTCCATCTCCCCTGTTTGGGGATTAGGGTCCATGAGGGTTCTGCAAGGGGCAAGTCACTCGAGGGCCCTCGGTCGGGGGAGGGACCAACGGGAATCTCGTACGGCCGCTCACAGAAATACCCGCCGGAACTCTGTAAACAGCTAGTTGGGTGTCTGTGGCCGTGGGCGACCCAGAGAATAGAGGCTGGCGGTTCTAGATGCCCCAGGAACCCTGAAAAAGTTTGGAGCAGCAACGCAAGTGCGCACGAATGTGGGGGTCGAGAAGCAGCGATGACAGCTAAAGCGACGAAGACCGATGATGTTCGATCTAGGCGCGCGGAAACCTGCACAGAGGATCGTTGCGAGCCGTCATCCGACTTGTTCGTTGCTGCGTTTGCGTGCATGTTGGATTTCGCACGCTGCAGAATTACCTCGTGCCTGAAACCAGGAACCAAAGACCAGGCTGCGCGGTCTCCCTCCGCATACATCCGACGTGTTTCCCCACGGGTATGAACCCTTTTCCCAACGTGCACCGCCGAATCATCCTGAATCAGTGTTTGACTGCCCCGAAGCCGCCGATGTTGAAAATAGTTAACGAAAACGAAGCGAAAAGGGGTATGGGTCCATCCCTCCAGCGCCAGCTCGAGTTGGGCTTTGCGGGCCGTGGAAGTTCGCGCCTTCGGCGCCACCCCTCACTGCCCTCGTCCTCCTCCGCAACCCCTCCTTTCTCTCTCCGCCGCGGCTTCGGGTGCTCAGCGGAACTGCCAAGGGGGGGTCGCCACCGCCGCTTGCGCCCCCAACCCCCGCCCCCGACTGGCGACGAGCGCAGCGGCCACCCTGACATCCGCTGGTGTGTTTGTCTCAACCATGCTGTGGTGTTGGGTCCTCGTTTTGAAGAGACAACGGCCCGTCTCTTCCACTCTCATCTCCCTCCTCCTCCTTCCTCCTCCCCCCATCTTTACCCAACTTAAGCCCAACAGGGCTCGAATCATCAGGTAGTGCTGGTCAGGTCGCAATGTTGGAGTCCATAGTAGCGGGTCCATGGAAATGGCGGAAAGTACAGTTTCGAATGTCCGTTAAGCAACGTGGAAAATATGAGTTGTGTAAGCAAAGCGCGCGCGGGGGCGCGCGCGGGTCTTTTTTTTTCCGATCCGAAATAGCTTCGGTCAAGTATGCGTTCAAGCAAGGCTATATATGTACATAAACGGCGGCAGGGATCGCATGGCAACGACTCCCCCCGCGGAGGCCCGGCCGCAGCGGCCGGCCGGGGCCGACGTAGCACCATCGGGACCTGGCGTCTCCGACGGCGCTGAATTCGGATAGGCGCGGGCGCGAGGCTCTCATAGCCGCCAGCAGCCCCGCCTGCCACGTGGCGTACACCATGCGGCTATGGGCCGAGGGTGTATGTGTCTGCGCCGGCGTAGCCACCAGAGCGCCATGGGCGCATGGACGTCTGGGGCTTACCAGTGCCATCCGCCGTCGTGACGCCGTTGGTCGCGGTCGTCGTAACGGCGATCTACCCAGCTGTCGTGACCGCCATTGCCACGGTTATCTTTGCCCAGCCCTTTTCTTCCGGCGCGGCTGGAGGTGCCCCTCCACGCACTCCAGGCGCGGTCAATGGGGGGTCGGCTTTGCCTCCGTTCGCGCCGTGGGCGCCGGTCGGGCTCGGGGTTGACCTGCCGGGAAGATGACGACGCGGCGCCACTTTGCTCGGATTGGCGGATGTCTGCGTAGTGGCACGGACGTACCGAGGGAGGGGGCGCTGCGCGACTGCCCCCCTTCTCTCGGGGCCGCCTGCCCTTCCCCGTCTCTGCGGCCTCTGGGCGCGGCGGGGCCGCGCCGCTCGACGCGCTGCCTTTGCCGTCCCCCGTGCGCGAGAACGCGGCCGCTCTGTCCCCTGCTGTAGATGAGGGACTGAGGGGGCGCTTGCGGCTGACGGGGCGGGCGGCCCGGGCTGCGGTTGCCGGGGGCTGGCGACGCCGTGCTCCTCGTACCACGGGCGCGCGTGAGGTGGGGCGCTCCTCGCCTGGCTCACGCGGCGGCACCCCATGCCGTTGCCACATGTTCAATGCGTATACCGCAGCCTCGTGCACGTGAAGCGGCCAAAGCTCGACAGCTGCGCGCTGGAAGCTGTCCAGCGTGGCCCGCTGGCCGCGTCTGATCGCTGTGGCGTGCGACTGCAACAGGTACTGCATGCATGCCTCGATCTTGTGCGCATCAGTGGAGATTCGCGGCAGATCTGATCGGTTTCTATAGATGTCCCTGCGCGCCAGTTCCAGCATCTCGCGGTGCGCCTTCAGGATGTTGAGCTGGCGCACCAGCGTCGTGCGGAACTGGCCCGCTTCCTTGAGATGAACGCGCATGGCGCGTTCATCTGCGCTGTCCGCATCAATCTCCGTCCAATCGAAGTATTTTGGTCAATTCGCTGGCGACCCTGTAGGCTTGTTCTGACACATTTCGTTTCGACGCTGAAGAGGTCCAGACCGTGGGCGGAGAACTCGGGCGGCTCGTACCACATGTTGCGGATCTGTGCCTCGCAGGAGGCAACGGTATCCGCCTGGTGATATTCCGCAGGCTCGTCATGTGCTTCGAAGTATGTAACGAGCTCGTGAGCCGCCCTTGTGATGCGATACTGGTTTATGGGTATCCTGATGTCCGCTTGATGAATGTTATGGTGAGTCACGCGAGAGCTGTTCCGTCTGCGCACGGCGGGGCCCCCGAAAGCTCTTGGTGCGTCCTCTGATCGAACTCGTCGTCGACTATTCGATCTGCCACGCCTGCCATGGGCATGAGGTGGCGGCCGTGCCGAGGCGGGGCGGCGTGCGCGCGCGTCCCGAACATGTTATGTTTCCTCCTCCTCTTCCTCGATACCGGCCATCTCCACCTTCGGCGGCCAATGACCTTCCATTTCCTCCTGGATGTCTCGTCGAAGCTGATTGAGTTCCGGCGGCAGGCGGCCGCGATTGACGTCCCACCAACGAGGCCAACTTGCAGATGGATAAGCACCGTCGCGCGCATCTGGGTCTGTGGTGTCCCAGTCAAAGAGGCCGAGGGCACCCATCTCTGTGCTGAAATCAGACTGGTCCACTTGTCTCGAAGGGTACGTCCGCCAATTCCATGTCGGGCAGGTCGCTCTGTTGCCAGTGGGTTTCCAGCGGTTTCCAGCCAAGATGCTCCTGGTGCGACATCCACCGACGGGCCAGTTTGTGCCCCTTGACCTCACGCGCCCTGTGGCCATGGGCAGGGCGCTTGTCATTCGGTGATGATTGAACCCAAGCGAACACGGATCTTTCAGCCGAAGAGTGTGGCTGTCTTTCCCGACATACAGCGTGCTGGCGTAATGGCGCGCCCTCGGAGTTGTCGATTTTCCAGTTGTCCCGCCAACGCGCTTGTGTACGATCCGAATTCTGTATCTGAGCTGCCCGTGTCCGTTGCCTGCCACCACCGCGCTCATGGAGCGGGCTCTCAGGCCTCGGATCTCTGAACATTCCGGCATTCCTCCAGCCCATCGCAGGCCGAAGTCTGTTGGGATGGTACGGGAGCGCCTCGTAGATGATGTCGCCCAAACATACTGAACAACCCACCATGCCATATCTGGACTTGTGTCCCATGTGGCAAACGAGACATACGTCATCATCCCAGCCAGGCGGCTGCCTAATTTCCGTCCACAGCGCAGTATCGACACGGTCCTCCCAATAGCCGGCTCTGATGCACTGATTGGGCTCCAGGACGTCGACGCAGCCTGTCTTGTGCCTGGGCAGGACCTGAACCATGGTCAGACGTCGGTGGTAGGTGACGTGCCACGATGCCTCATTGCCAGGCGACTCGCCAGATGTTATTCCAGTGCGAGATATTATCCGTAAAGACTTGGCCTGTCGGCAAGATCCAGTGTGGGTGCGCTTCCAGGTGCCTCGAGCTCATGGTAGCGAGGTGCCTGCCGTCGAAGTTGGACAAATGGATATCGAACACTGATCTGCTACTATTCCCAGCAAGATCTTTCGAGACGCCGTCTTGGTGAAGGAACGTCGGGAAGTTGGTGGCTTGTTCCAGACAGACTCGTTCGGCATCTCGACGAACCAGTGCTTGTGTTGCCTGAAAGCTTCGCGGCTCGGATGCGCCCTCCAGTGCCAGCGCCTCCAGATCATGGATCTTTGACGCATGTGGAGAAAGCGCAAGGGTGTAAGCCAAAGTGTTGAATTGTCGGATACCTGTGGCTTCGTCATACGAGGGAGCCACTCGCCCTTTCTGACTGTGTCAAACGTCAGCGGCAGTCGATGGTATAAGCAGGGCTCCATGTTTCTCGCACGTGCTGGGCTCGCACCGTACGTTCCGACGGTGTGGACTGATGACCCTCAGCGAGTCGCCGTGCACAGCCCTGATGAATAGCGGTCGAGTCGATGGTGCCAGAAATCTGTTCCGTCCCACTCTCCGCCAGGGATGCGTCTGCGACGCCATCGACCTCGGATGCTCCGACACCTTTGCGGAGAACTTCGGCGAAGCTGGCTTCCCAGTCCATGGGGCGGGATGTAGGGCCTTCATCAGCAGCGTCCATTTCCACTCCCAACATATAGACATCCTGCGGGTCAAGCACGGAAGCCGCATGCATGCATCTTGCCCACGGGCGGCCAAAGCCGACGTCCGTCAGCATCCTGATCAGTACATCCACGTCTACCCACCCGCTTGAGCTCAGCACATGGACCGAGCTGCGGCGAAGGAGGTGAATGATCAGCCCGCCAAGTCGGAGGGCCTCACCGCGCCCCAC